ATCCACTCACCTCAGCCTCCCAAAGGCGCGGGATTACAGGCTGAGCCACCGAGCCCAGCTGAGACCCTTTTTTCTTGCGGGAATTCCTGTGCTTTCACTTTTATCTACCACATGATATGCAGTAGGTTAAAATATGAATGGGATGGCCAGCGCAGTGACTCACTCACACCTATAATCCCAGTACTTTGGGAGGCCGAGGTGAAAGGATTGCCTGAGCTCATGGGTTCAAGACCAGCCTGGGCAACTTGGTGAGACCTCGTCTCTACAATAAATCAAAAAATAAGCTGGGCGTGGTGGCGCGTGCCTGTAGTTCCAGCTACTTGAAAGACTGAGGGGGAAGGATCACCTGAGCCCAGCAAGTCAAGGCTGTAGTGGCTGTGAGCATGCCAGTGCACTCCAGCCTGGGCAACAGAGTGAGAGTGAGACTCCAACTCAAAAAAAAAAAAAAAAAAAATGAATGAGGGCTGGACGCAGTGGTGCACTCCTGTAATTCCAGCTCTTTGGGAGGCTAAGGCAGGAGGATTGCCTGAGCCCAGGAGTTTGAGACCAGCCTGGGAAACTTGGCAAGACCTTGTCTCTACAATAAGTTAAAAAATTAGACAGGCATGGTGGCGCACGCCTATAGTTCCTGCTACTTAGAAAGCTGAGGTGGAAGGATTGCCTGAGCCCAGCAGGTCAAGGTTGCATTGGCCATGATCATGCCATTGCGCTCCAGCCTGGATGACAGAGTGAGACTCTGACTCAAAAAAAAAAAAAAAAAAAAGAATAGGAGAACACATTGGTCAGACATTTATGACTTCAATAAAATAAATCCCGGTTTTATTCTGTCTCACCATAAAACTAACCCTTACCCACATGCAGTGTCACCAGTGTGCAGAGGCAGGACAGGAGGAATCATGGCTGCAGCCTGAGGACGAGAACATGAAAAGCCCAAGTTGTAGCTGCCTGACTCAGATGGGATCTGTTGTTTGCCAGCTGGGGACCTTGGCAAGTTACCTAACGTGTATCACACAGTGGCAGTGTGGAAGTTAACTGAAAACAGAGTGTCTAGCCAAAAGTCTGGCATTCTGCCGCACTCAGTAAATGCAAATTACTTCCTTTCCTGTAAGAATCTGCTCCTTGGCAGCAGCAACAAACAGAAGTGGAAGTTGGAATGATCATATCTATTTATGGCTACTGTCCCATAGGGGCCAGGGAGGAAGCACTTCCCTCCCAGTGTATTAGAGGTCTGTGTGGGTTTCTTAGATTGCGGAATTTTTATTATTTTTTAAATTAATATGTGTAGGCTTTTGTTTACAAAAAATATTAAATGATAAATATATACAACTTATAAAATAATCAGATAAGCTCCAATAAGGAAATATAAACAACTCATACTCCTGCCACCAAAATACCCATGGTTGACATTTTGTGGCACAAACACACACACACACACACGCTTTTTATGAAAATGAAACTGCATTCTTTTTTTTTACTTTCGAGTTGGAGTCTCACTTTGTCACCTAGGCTGGAGTGCAGTGGCATGCTCGCGGCCACCACAGCCTTGACCTGCTGGGCTCAGGTGATCCTTACACTTCAGTCTTCCAGGTAGCTGGAACTATAGGCATGCACCACCACACCTGGTTTATTTTTTGATTTATTGTAGAGACAAGGTCTCACCAAGTTGCCAGGCTGGTCTCGAACCCGTGGGCTCAGGCAATCCTCTTGCCTCTGCCTCCCAAAGTGCTGGGATTATAGGCATAGTCACCACACCTGGCTGAAATTGCATTCTATATATTCCATATACTGTTTGGTCACCTGCTTTCCTCATTCAACAACATATCAGAAACATTTTTCATGACATTAAAATTCCTTCTACGTCACTTTAAAGTGACTATGTAGTATTAACCAAAATTTACAATTACTAACAGTATTTCAATGGGCAATCACATAAATCTTTGTATATATTCACAATAAATTAGGCCGATAAGGTGCTGGGTCAAAGCGTGCATATTTTAAAACATGAAGTCACAACTGGGCTTGGTGGCTCAAGCCTGTAATCCCAGCACTTTGGGAGACCGAGGTGAGAAGATTACCTTAACTCACAGGTTCAAGACCAGCTTGGGCAACTTGGTAAATAAAAAATTTAAACAAAAATTAGCTGGACGTGGTGGAGCACACCTGTAGGTCCAACTACTTGGAAGGCTGAGGCAGAAGAATCGCCTGAGCCCAGCAGATTGAGGTCGTGGTGTCTGTGAACGTGCCACTGCACTCCATCTTGGGTGACAGAGTGAGACTCTGACTCAATAATAATAATAAAATAATAAAATAAAGTATGAAGTCACATTGCCCTCCAGAAAGATTCTATCAATGTACATTCTCTGAACATCATTCTTGTGATCTCAGAACTAAGGAGTGATTTTAACTTTAAGTATATGAATTCTATCATCAAATATATATATTTTTCTAAAACTGCTTTAATGAAGGGGTCTAAATAAGGGTCCACTGTCCCTTACACTCAACAGGATGTGTATGGAGTGACTATGCTGGATGCCATCCTCTTCTGTCCCCTCTTTCCTCCCCATTCTGAAATGAAAAGCAACGATAGATGCTCAAGAAATTGAGTCAGTGCTGCCATTCTCACCCATCGGATCACTGAGCCTTGCCTGAGCTGTGTTTTCTTTTTAAAAAATTTTTATTTTAAAGATGTGGGGTACAATCCAGGGTTAGGTATACAAGTCAAATATATATTGATGGCTTACTATCAGACTTTTTTTTTTGCCTCTCATGGGACCCTCCCCCAGAATCCACACCCACATCTGACCTTGGACACACCCCCTAAGCAACAAACAACTGCTGATGCCTGGCACCTGCCCCAGCTGCAGCCTAGAAAACGGAAACAAGAACGCTCTCCAAATGGGAAAGATCTTCCTTTCAAGCCTCCTGAAAAGTAGTCCCTGATAAGCAGTCACTGAGTCACCTTCCTTACTGCCTCTGTGGTGGGAGCAACCATGGCCTGGAGTCTCCGTGGGAAAGTTCAGCTCGGGGGGCTGCTCCTCTCCCTCCTTGGCTGGATCTGCTCATGTGTCACCACCGTCCTGCCCCAGTGGAAGACACTTAATCTGGACCTGAACGAAATGGAGACCTGGATCATGGGGCTTTGGGAGGTCTGCGTGGATCAGGAGGAAGCTGGCACGGCGTGCAAGGCCTTCGAGTCCTTCTTGTCTCTGCCCCAGGAGCTCCAGGTAGCCCGTATCCTCATGGTAGTCTCCCATGCTCTGGGCCTACTGGGGCTTCTGCTCTCTGGCCTCGGGTCCGAATGCTTCCAGTTTCACAGGATCAGAAGAGTATTCAAGCAGAGGCTTGGCCTCCTGGGAGGGACTCTGGGGGCATCAGCTTCAGCAACTACCCTCCTTCCAGTCTCCTGGGTGGCCCATGCCACAGTCCGAAACTTCTGGGATGACAACATCCCCGAGATTGTACCTCGGTGGGAGTTTGGGGATGCCCTCTACCTGGGCTGGGCTGCCGGTGTTCTCCTGGCTCTTGGAGGGTTGCTCTTCCTCTTCTCTGCCTGTCTGGAAAAAGAAGATGCACCTTCCTCCTTGTTGGCAGATCCTACAGTCCCCCCATCCTGTGCTCCAGTGAAGGAGTCGGATGGCTCCTTCCACCTTACAGCAAGACCTAGAAACCTGGTCATCTAGGACTGGCATCTGCCAAGGAATCTCTGAAATAAAGGAATGTCAGTATAATCCTTTCTCTTTCTCATTCTTCTTCATTCTGTATTTGTTTGCCTCAAAGGGGGGTGGTGGGGGTCACTGTCCCATTTGGGGAGGATGTGACTATCTTGGTACGGCGATCTTTATTTCAAAATGAAACCTCAGGGCAACTGTGTCTAATACAAGTGCTTTTCTTATTTGAGATTTTATTTCTATTAAAAGGCCTTCAAACTCATAATATGACATACTTGATTCTTTCTTTGCTAAGGAAAGATAGATTACAAAATTCCCTCCATCAGAAAAGCAGTGTGAACAGGCACTCATTGTATGCATGGCTAGAAAAGTCACTGATGGTGCCTTGGCACAGGAAAGTGGATGATTGGCTCAGCACAGCACGTCGAATAGAAATCCTCCTGGGGTCCATTTTCAGCCTCAGGTGCACAATTTGAAAGGGAGCTTCAAATATGTCTTTGCTGTTTTTGTGGATTCTTAATATCTCAAAGGGGAGACATATTCTTGTTTCTGCTATGTTAGGAGGCTGTGAGTGGTCTGCTCTGTCTTCCCTGTCTGCAGTGAACAGTCTGAGTGAGTGGCAGGGTGACCAACCCTCCTGGTTTGCTGAGACTTGGTGCTTGTCTGTGCTAAAACTAGGAAAGCCCCAAGCAAACTAGGACTGACTGGTTACCCTAGGGTGGTTGTGTATATATGTGGAGAGAATGGGCTGGCTCCTCAGAAATGTCTTTTACCATGTGAAAAATCACCGAACAAACCCTTAAATTTTAACCCAAATGCCAGCAAACCTACCCAGGCTAGGATTGCAAATCAAGTCCCCTCCATAACAATAACCCAAGTGCCTTTGCTTGCGCCACCTGCACTGGCAGCCTGTCTGCCTGACCACCCCACCCATGGGGTGGAATCTTCCTCGGGCATTTCTGCACGTTTTCAGGGAGGAACCTCATGCTGCTCAGAAACCTGGCTGGCAGTTGAGTCAGGCTCCAGTCTCCACTCTGTTCCCCTCATTGCCCCTTGTCCCCACCCCTGTAATCCGTTGAAGAAGTGTCACCATTGACCCTGCCAATAACTCCCACAGGGAACAGCTAAGAGGAATGGCTCACAGTGCTGGACACTGTGGCTCATGCCTGGGCCAGGCTCAGTGGCTCAGCCTGTAATTCCAGCACTTTGAGAGGCTGAGGTGAGTGGATTGCCTGAGCCCACGGGTTCGAGACCCACCTGGGCAACTTGGCAAGACCTCATCTCTACAGTAAATCAAAAAATTAGCCAGGCGTGGTAGCGCTCACCTGTAGTTCCAGCTACTTGAAAGGCTGAGGCAGAAGGATCGCCGGAGCCCAGCAGGTTGAGGCTGCAGGCGACAGAGTGAGACTCCAACTCAAAAAACAAAAAACAAAAAAAAAAAAGAAAGAAAGATTTTTGAGGTTAGGAGAGCAGATATTGTTTTGCCACTGAAGAAACTGAGATTCCGAGAATCTCAATTTTAGGTGACAAGTCCATGGCGAGTTATCAGCTGAGTCAGGACTTGGACCCAGAGTTTGAGTCCATGGCAGGCTTTCTTCACCTCATCTTGTTGCCTCAAGGGATGGGTTGCCTAGACAATCCACCAGACCAAAGGACAAACTAGTGCTGAAAGAAATGGAAAACCAATGACCTTCAAAAAACTTCTCCTTTGTGCTGATGTTGAGGTTCAAACAGAGTTTTGTCACCAGGTGGCTCACCTGCTCCTGCCAGTGGCTTGTAGCCCTCCTCCTAATCCCATGTTTGCAGGTGCTGATGAAAAAAAAATCGGACCACCCTCTCAGATCCTCTCCCGCTCTGGGAGATTTTCTGTTCTCTCAGTAAATCCTGCTTTCCCATCTTCCAGTCGACCATGTTCCTCATTCATCCTGGGCACGAGACAAGAAACCAGACCTCAAGTGCTGCAGAAGATCGTCAGGCCGAAGAGCCATGCACCCCAGAGCCTGGCTTGCCTGCTGATGAAGCTGGCTGAACCAGGAGAGCTGCCGGCAGAAGGCAAGACTCTGAAGCTGAGACGCTTCTGAGGGTTGGCTTGCCAGCCCACAGAATCAGCAACACTCTCAGGGCTAGGCTTGCCAACACTCCTGGGGCTAGACTTGCCAGCCCATCGAGCTGATGCTCTTTAGAACTCCACTTGCAGACCCACGGAGCTGACACCCTCAGAGCCCAGTTGACCAGAAAAATCTGCACCACCATTTCCTAATATATCCTAGTGAAAGATAATTTTAAAAAATATTTTAATAATCATAGCAGAGCTCAAATTATTGTGTTTTGAATTAATGTGTCTGTGTTCAATAAACTGAATAAAACTTATTTGAAGGATAGAAAAAAATATCAGCATGTGATTATGACTTCCTTTGCAAAATAGACACAACTGAAGATTTGTGAAAAAAATGTCCTGTCTTCTCGACTCTCTTTATAAAGGACTCCAAGGCATTTTTTTCAAATGAGTGTGGGAGGGACTGTTGATGACACGTTGGCCAAGTAGTCAAGATCTCGCCATACCCAGATGGGAATGTGATCTGCGTTCTGGTGAGAACACACTTAGAGAAAGAGTCTGAGAAAGATGATGCTATTCACCTAAAACTGCCAGTGTTTTGTCTACCTGCTTTAAAGGAGAAAATAATGAGAAATAAAAATAGAATTAATTCAATCTTCGCTTCAACCTAGCCTTTTCTCATACAGATCTGTGGTAAATTATTCTAATGTTGAAAACATTTCTTTACTATGGTTACACATGGAGAGGTACCAGAAATAGAGGTACGAGAAACAGAGAGGGACACGAATCAATCAATATCTCAAGTCAAAAGATTTTTGCTTTATGTATAAAACATTGTGAGAAAATAACTCAAGGACTCGCTGACTTTGATGCAGTGAGAATTCATGGCAACTCGATGCTGTCTTCTCTACCAGCCTGGGTCTGTAAGTTTCACCAGTAGCGGCAGTTAAGGCATTCCAGAAAGCCCCTATTCAAAAATACTCATCTGTAATCACTCTACAGAAAAGTCCTCAAGGAGCTTGATGTGGATTAGACACATCTGGGATGAGAGGGAAGTCAGAAGTAGTTTAATGGACTTCTGGCCAGGAGATGTGTCTTCGCAACCAGGGTTAGGACAATAAGCTCAGTCTGGGAAATGTTTGAAGTCACTGGCTCTGAGTGGGGAAGGGAGGGTGCTGAAAGGAGGAGTTCACTTTCTGGTCTATCGATTGGGGGCTTTATATTTTTAAGCTAGTTGTTTTCTCACAACTCCATCTATGTTTATAGAATGTAGAATGGACTTCACTGCTGTCCAGAATTCTGAATAAAGCCTCAAAGTCATGTCCCATGGGTGCTGTGTACCTCATATTCCAAAGGGAGAGAGACTCAACACATCGGTGCCAAGAGGCATCCACACTGGTCAGCCTTCACATCCAATAGCCTACAGGAGAGAAGCATCCAGATTCACTAGGTAAGGATTCCTGGAAGACAATTCTTAATAATCGAGAGGATTATCGTGTTCTCTACCCTTCCCGGTGTAGGACCTTAAAAGACCTACTCCCAGATCAGAGTTGTTCTGGGAGGAAAAACCGGTATCTGAAGCACACCCTACCCCAGCACTGCCAAGCTACTAATTCCACAGGCCCACTCCCGCCGCCACCAGGATAGAGCCCAAGAAAGTTCTTGAGAAAACCTGAATTGAGAATTGAGTTGTGGAGGCCTACAGGCGAGCTGTTGACTACTTGGCTGACCACCCCTGGAACAGCCCAGAGGTGGGAGGCTGGTGGTGGCAGGACAGTCTGCCTTTTACAAAGGCAAGGTGGGGAGCGTCCCAACCCAAATGGGTGCCATGGAAGGCAATGTGGGTGACCTTGTCCCAGAACACCTTGGAAAGAGGAAATGACTAGGTCAGGAGCTGAAAGGAGTGGTAAGAGGTCAGCCAGAGAACCCTAGAGCCATTAGGGAGTGTGGAGGCTTTCTGCAGGGTTCTTTGAAGAGCCCATAAAGTGCCGCATAACAAAAGTTAAGAAGTGGATTCCACCTTGGCACGGTGGCTCATACCTGCAAATCCAAGCACTTTGGGAGACACAGACGAGAGGATTGCCTGAGCTCAGGGGTTCGAGATCAGCCTGGGAAACTTGGCGAGACCTCGTCTAATCAAAAAATTAGCCAGGTGGGGTGGCATGCACCTGTACTTCCAGCTACTTAGAAAGGTGAGGCCGGAAGGATTGCCTGAGTCCAGCAGGTCGAGGCTGCATTGGTCGTCCAGCAACAGAGTGAGACTCCAACTCAAAAAAAAAAGAAAAAAGAAAAAAGAATTGGATTCTTGCCATAACAAAGGACTTTGAATCAAGAGAGTATTATATACCTTGGCATCTTCCTAACCAGAGACGTGAAAGACTTTTACAATGAAAACTACAAAACACTGCTCAAAGACATCAAAGATGACACAAACAAGTGGAACAATATCCCATGCTCATGGATTGGAAGAATCAACACTGTGAAGATGTCCATCTTACCTAAGGCAATCTACAGATTTAATGCAATACCCATCAAATTACTAGCAACATTCTTCTCAGAGCTAGAAAAAACAATACAGGAATTCATATGGAAACACAAACGACTAAGAATAGCCAGAATAATCCTCAGCAAAAAAAACAAAGCAGGAGGTATCACATTACCAGACTTCAAACTTTACTATAAAGTTACAGTAATCAAAACAGCTTGGTATTGGTACAGGAACAGGCATATAGACCAATGGAATAGAATTGAGAGTCCAGAAGTAAAACCTCAATTTCTCAACCAACTCATCTTTGACAAAGCCTCCATCACCCACCACTGGGGAGAGGAGAACCTATTCAGTAAATGGTGCTGGGAAAACTGGCTGACCACATGCAGAGATTCAAGCAAGACCCCTATCTATCCCCATACACAAAAATTAACTCTAAGTGGATCAGAGACCTAAATGTAAAACCTC